TTGCAGGGTTTGTGTGTGGTTCAGTGGTGCTGGATCTGGAGTGAATCCTGCAGCTGGGATGTCGGGGTCACACAGTGGTTTCTTAAAATCTGTATTGTTTTATGCCTCTTTTCTTCTGGGCTGGTCACTAACTGCAGATAAATCAGTTTCCTCCGGGATCCAATCTCTGATTTAATCACACCCCCAGGGTGGATTTTAAGAGATGGTGGCTGTCTGAAGCCTTTGGCCTCCCAGTGACCTTGCTGGAACAATTTCAGCTGGATGGGCTTCCCCCTCTGCCCCCCTCAAGTGCAGACAGAGCCGTTTGTCAGCAAAATGGTCTTTAAATGTCTTCCTGTGGCAAAGTTAACGAGCTTTTAATGGAATTCTGCAGTGCTGTGCATGGAAGAGCAGCTCCTCCTCCTTCCCTGTGGCTGCTGACTAAAAACCCCCTTATCCAAAGCTCCTGGCTGGATCCTGCCTGGGGGTTCTCACCTTCTGAGACCCTTGAAGCATATCAAGGTTGATTACAGTTGTTTTAGCTTAAAAACTTAGTAATTTAATGTAATTTCCCCCAAAACTGTGTTCCCAGAGCAGCAGCAGCTTATGGCAAGCCTTGCTAAACACTGGCTGCAGTGGAAAATAGCTTATGGTTCATTAAAACAATTAATTAAAAAATTATTGGGAAAGTTATAGCGTTTCCAGCAAGGTAAGATTTTCTTCCAGCTGTCTGTGATGCTTTAGAGGGAGAGGAAGGATTTCTTGGTGACCAGGAGCAGGGATGGGCTCATCCTGTGCCAAAACCAAAGCAGGGCACATGAGATCACCTGGAGGTGCCAGGGGAATTTATCTTGCCTCAGTCTTACAAGTTCCTGCAGGTCCCTGTGTCTGCTGCCTGCTCTGATGGAATGATCTCATCCCTCTCCTGCCAGGGGAGTTGTGACCTGTCACACCTGAGCCAGCTGCAGCACCTGGAGCCTTTTGGCTGTGCCTGGGCAGGTGGCCCTCCTCCCACGGAGGATCTGGAATTCCCAGGATTGCTGTCCCTTTGTCTCTTCTCTCAGAAACGTGCTGCCCAAGAGTAGGACACTGTGGGAATCAGAAAAACAAACTTCCACAGACACTAAAAATTTTGATCTACAGCCTTGAAAGAAGCTTAGGTTGGTGTGAAAATACAATACACAGATATTAAACCAAAAAATCATAAACTTATGTTTCTGTAGTTGTAGGTGAGAATATACCTTAAGTAAGTGAGAAACTGTACTGATAAGATAGTGAAGAGTTTCTAATAAAAGGGGTGTAGTTGTTAAAAGTTACAATAAAAACATATCTGTGCCTGTAAGTTAGAAACCCATTGGATAAAAGTATCTGCAGTGCAGCAGAAGTAAGTAAAGGTGATAAGTTAGGAAAGTAAAATAAAGCCTGTGGCAACTGTCTGTTGAGTTAGGAAGTTAATATATTGCCTTGTAACAAAGAAATTTGTGACTGCTCTTGAGCTATGGCCGAACACTCACTCCTCTAAAATCTCACAGCCTCTGAGGTTGGTGTTGATCTGAGCAATAAATCATTCTTAGCTTGAAAACAGTCCCTTCATTTCTAGCAGTGACAGTGGCAGGATGTGAGTAACTAAAACCTGGTGCTTCTAACCCTCCCTTGAAGGAAGGAGCTGGTCCGTGTGGAGGCCACGGTGATTGAGAAGACGGAGTCGTGGCCCAAGGTCAACATGCGCTTCTGGAGGAGGCACAACTTCCAGAGGAAGAAAAGTAAGGGGGGAAGGACACGTTTCCTTCCCTGCTGGATGTGGGAGGGGAGGTATCCCAGCACAAGGACCTGAGGAAGGGGCTTGTTCTCAGTGTCCCCAGAGCCCCTCAGGGCCAGCCCCTCTCCCAGGTGCACCCACAGGGGATTTAATATTCCTGGGCAGGAGAGCAATCCTAGTTTCTCCCCAAAGCCTTGAACACCGGATGTGTCATCACAGCTCCCAGCAAGCCCAAACAGGGTTCTGCCCAGGTTTTGGTTGCCAAATTTCTCTTCCTTCTCTGAGAGAGGGAAGAATTATGGCTATTTTTACATGGGATGGATGGTAAAGCCTTAACCAGGCTGCCCTCTGGGACCTGCTGTCCTTGGCATCCCCATGGAATGCCGCTGTCTGCCAGCAGGAGCCCTGGCATGAGGTAGGCACCAGGTTTATGCTGTTACCTGATCCTTTTTTTCCCCCTTTTCCTTCTTTTTCAGTCATTGCAAACCCCCAGACTGTCCTTCGGATCAACACCATCGAAATCTACCCCTGCTTGTCCTGACTGGGGAGGTGTTCCTGGGAATCATTGCTGCTCCAGGCAATTGTGGAAATAAAACTGCCTTGGCACTGGACTTGTTGCTGTGGTGGGAAATGGAAGTCTCTATGTGCTTTCTTTTTAAAATAATGAAATATTTTTTAAAGTGTTGCTTCAGCCTTGCTGGTGTTTATTTACCAGGAGTTTTAAACTACCCAGGATCCATTGCTGGTTGTCCAGCCTTTTCATGCCTAATGGATATTTTTGCCTCCATACTGCCTGAATTTTAGGAATCCTGGTCATGTAATTCCTGGCATTGTGTGGCTCCAGGGAATATCCTGGGGTACAGCATGGCCCTCAGCGTGTGGGACTGAAGAGAGCAGTGAAACCAGGTGACTGCAGGGTATCTACTCCCAGATCGTGCCAAGGGGTGAAAATCCTTCTTAACCATTAGCACTGGGAAGTGGAGCTGAAAAATTCCCCTCTTGAAGGTGAGCAGCAATAAACTGTGTGTGTGTGTGTAACACCATCAAAATGAGACACTGGTGGCTCAGCAGGGATTTTGTGCCTATTTCAGAGCTGAGTTTTGGCCTGCTGAGTGTATTCCATGTCTAGATCCTGGTCTTTTCCCTCTTCTGTGGCTGCACGTTGAGCACTGTCCTTCCCTGAGCAGCACATACAAGGCCTGCTGGATCCAGCTGAGGTCTGCTGGTGTTTCTGGGCTGGATATCCACCAGGAGGAGAGTTTCCTGAAGTTTCCTGGAGTCTGTTGTACTGTGGGGTTCCTAATAGCCACCATGGGAAGAGATAACGGGCTCTGCTCACCCTGCACTTCCCTAGGGAGTAGCTTGCTTCACATTGGGAATAAAACCACATTTGGGTGTCCTTTGCACTCCCACCATGGCCCCTTCTGGGACAAAGGTTGCCAGAGCCCTGTGCTGAGGGAAATGGGAGTTTTGTTCCATCTGGAGCTGGCCCTGGCTGTCCAGTCTCACAATTCCTTTGGGAGATCCCTTCAGGCACAGCTGTGGTGGCTGTGGCTGCTGGAAAAGAGAGTGCCAGGGTTGAGCTGGTTCTTCAGCCACTGGAGACAGCTGGATCTGCAGGGGTGGACTCAGCCCTCCCCATTTCAGATCCTCTGGCACAAACAGCCCTTGGGAATGAAGCTCTTTCCCTGCTGCTGAGGTTAAACAGTTTTTAGCAGCTGATGGAATGTGAAGGCAGGGACAGCCTGGATCCTCGCATCCTCATTCCCAACCTTTTCCAAACTGAAAGGGTGGGGAGACCCCTCCAAAAACCATCTCCCACCTCCTCCCCTTCTCCCACAGGTGATTGCAGGTCCATGCTGGGACCAGCAGCTCCCAGCAGCAGGCAGAGTGTGCCGTGGGCTGGCACAGGGACCACAGCCTCCGGATGCAGGCTGTTCCCGGTGCACAGCGGAAGCGGTGCTGCCAGCCGAAGGAATTGGACTGGAAACCCTCAGTCCCTCTGTGTTTGAGTGCTGGGGCTAAGAAACAGCATGTCTTGGCTTTCAGGGGATGTAGCAGGAATGTTCTGTCCTTCCCAAATAGGAAGAAACACTTGGAAATAACACGGGATTCTGGGCTCAACAATACGGAGGGCAGAGGCTGGTGTGGAGTCAAGGGAAAAGCAAAGGGCTTAAGTTCTGTAAGTCTGATCCCCCAAAAAGCCCTTGGGAATGCAGATCTGATCCAAGTGAGATACTACACAAAATTAGGGTGGTTTCACTGCATTTTGGGGGGACAAAAATTCAGGAAGGGAAAATCCAGCCAGTATCAGGAAGTTTTTGGCTTAAAAATGTTTATGATGCAAAATAGGCAGGTTTTGTTGGATTTATTCAGACTGAGGTAAAAAGGGATTATTTTGATGCTTTCTTCAGGAGAATTTGAATCAAAAGCTTCTTGTTATTCCAAGTGGAAGCAGGAATGCCCAGCTCTCAGGGATGAAGTCACAGGTCTCCGTGGGACTTCAGGGGCGTGATCCTTGTCACCCTTCCTGGTGCTAAATAGCACTGAAATAGGTTGAGAGCAGGAATCTCTCAAGAAAACCGGTTTGGGATTTATTTTTCCTTTAAGCACTGATTCGTGGTGGAAATTTCTCTGCCAGGACCAAACAGATCCGGGTGGAATTTGAGATGCTTTGCCCAGAGCTGAAGATCCACGTGGGTCGGACGAGAAGCAGGCCTGGGCTCCGGCCACCCCTGTTCCCCCCGGGAGGGAGGCTGGAGAGCCGAGCAGAGGGCATGTGCTGGGAATTGGGAGTGAATTCCAGCGCTGATCCCTGCCCGCTGGCCACAAAGCCGCTGCCTGTGCTGCTCCTGCTGTGCTTTCCAAGAATGCCGGCAGGGCTCGGCGGCAGCAGGACAGCTGGCTCCGCAGCCCTGACATTTCCCATCATAAGGAAGCGTTGTTTTCTCGCCAGCTGCAAGGTTTGCTCGGGAATGGCTGGCGGGAATGATTCGGGAGGTGCCCTCGCTGCTCCCTCGGCTCCCCCTGGCATCCCTTGTTCGGGGCAGGAACGCCAAGAGCATCCCTGGCCCTGCTCCTCCCTGGATCCCAGGTGTGTGTCCCCCGAGACCCCTCCTCGCCCTCCCCTCTCCGGGATCCCTGATTTCTGTGTGCCGTGCACTGAGTCCAGTCCTTTCAAGAGTGGCCTATGGCACTGGAATTCCTTTGTGGCACCAGAATTCCTTTGTGGCTCCAGGTTTTTCCCTCCCCCTTAGCTCCAGCTGCTTTTAGGAGCGAGTTTTCCATCATTTCAAAGGCTGGTGCTGTTCCAAACCCCTCCAGTGCTCTGGATGTTGCAGCTTCGAGGGGCTTGGAGCTGTGTTTCACATAAAATCCTACTTGTGGTTGAAGGTAAAACAGCCCCGCCCTGGTCATCCCACAGGACTGCTTTTTGCAGCGTTTCTGGAGGTTTAAGTTACTTCCACGATGGGATTTGTCTTCCTTCCCTCAGCACAGTGTGCTGTGTTCTAAAATCAGCTTCCCAAGCAAAGCCGTTCCCGCAGCGGGAAGCTTCCCGCCGTGAGGAGCTGTTTGTGGAGTCTGATGGAGCCTGACAGACGGGGCCCGTGGCTGTGTCCTCCTTCCCAACAGCCAGCTCCTGCGGGAAAACAAAGTGCAGGACACTCTCTTTGGAAGCCACGGGGCAGCAGAGGGATTTAGCAGCTCCCTCAGGACGTTTGGATCGCGCGCTCTGCCAGCCGTGAGCTGCCGGTGTTTATCCAAAGCTCTCGGGACATGTTGTTCAGGCCCTGGGGTGGGAGGGAAGTGCTGTTGATTTGCCCCTTCCCTGTGTTTTTTATCCCTCACAGCTTTGGGAAGGAGTCTTTGAGCTCTGACGTGGAGCCAGTCTTGTTTTCTCAGCGTGATCCAGCCGCGTGTCGGAATCCGCTTCAGCGGCAGACAGGAACGGGACATCAGGAAACTCTGTTGGTTGGATTTCTCTTGCACTAGAGGTTTTATGATCTCCTGTGACCTAAAAAACAGCCTTTTATTAAAAAAAAGAAAGGGAACGTGTTCCCAGTGGGTCCGTGTTGATGCAAATCCCACATGGAGGAGTCCAGCAGTGGCCAGCATGCCTGGACATGGGGGCTTTCATCTGTTTTCCCTCTCCCCGTTTATAGCAAATGGAGAAGCAGCTGGGATCTGTGTCCTTGTGCCTTGGATGTGAATGCACAGGTTTCACAGCAGGATTGGTGTCAGAAGGAACAGAGTGAGTGAAGGAAGGTGAGGGGCTGAAGGCTGGGAGGATTCTTGGGTGTGCTGGGTTTGCTGCAGCAACCCAAAATGTGTTTATGGACAGGGCAGTGTGGCTTTGGTTATATCCTTGGAGAGCATTCCCTGATGGAGCTGCACAAGGGAATGTCTGTGCAGTAATTAACGAGTGGCAATTTAATGTGGTGGGTGAGCTGGAAAAGGGTTTGAGCCCTTCAAATGGAGGCTTGGGAGAGGAGCTAAGCCTTGGGGAACCAAAGTTTGAGATACCTCAATCATTTTTGAACTGGAGTTGGCTCCTGCATGGATCATTTGGCATTCCATGCCTTTGCATCATATCATGGAGAGAAGAAGGACTGGTGTTGTTTTCTCTTCCTTTCCTAAGTAAGAAAACACCATTGCCCCGTTTCAAATGCCCCAAAGTTCAGTTTCTGGGCAGCTCTCAAAACAGCTGACAACCCAGCAGGGAAGTGGTTTAGACCATGGAATGGGATCCCCCCGATCTGGGGCTATGACCTGCGGAGGTTTGGCTCTTGCTCTAGGTCAGCTTTTCATTTCAGCTGATTTCTGTTTGCAGGGCTGTGATTCATGGGAGCCTCTGGCTTGGTTCCCAGAGCAGACTCCTTGTGTCTTGAAGGACCGGCAAGTATGGAGGAGCCTGACCACAAATATTTCACCAGGACTCAATATCTCCTGCACCTTTCCCACTGGGCTCAGCTGCGGAGCGCTGGAGGTGGATCATGCAGCGATCACTGGTGATAAAGTCCTGTTTCCATTGCCAAATATTCCCTGGCAAACGTGGGACGTGGCGCTGAGTGCTCCTGTGGGGACTCGCATGTGGTTTCCACCTCGCCAAGGAGAGCTGTGCCTGAGGAGCAGGAGTTTCTCCCAGCTGTGCTGTCAGGGACACAAACTCCCCAGCTCTGGGACTCGCACTGACCCTTCTCCTAAAGAATCCAGGCATACATTTTTCTGGAGCAGCTGGTATTGGATTGGAAGGTCATAGTGGTGGTGGAGGTGGTGGGAAGGGAGCTGATTTTCCCAAGGTGACGTTGGAAGTCTGTGGCATGAGTGCAGCTGTGCTTCCATCTTAATTCCATCCTTCTTGTCCCTTTGTTCCCTCATCCCCAAGAATCCATGTGCTGTTAACACACTCAGAATTAAGGCAAATGTGACTGCCCAGCTGCCAGGGCTGTGCTGCCAAGGTGCTGCACCTGAGGCGAGCACAGCAGGAACCTGGAGCAGCAGGAATTGTTACTCTGCATTCCCCCAGCCAGTTTCTGCCTTCCAAAGTGCAAGGGTCGATTTTCCATGAAATTTGCCCATTTGTTGTCACACAACTCGCAGGAAAAGGGTTTTCTCTGTGGCTTCTCCCTCGTTTGCCTGGAATCAGGAATGTATTAGAACTGGTCTTGCAGAGGATCAGGCAAGAAGAGGACTTGATTGCAGACATCTCATTTCCGTAGGAAATGGGGCTAAAAATAGGGAAGGAATGTAAAGGAGACTTCTTTTTCTTGACACCCGCCCCGTTCCCCAGCTGGGAATCAGCTTTTGTCCCAAAATCTGTTTATTGCCTCGCTGTTGTTTTCTGGGCCCCAGATGTAGCAATGAGCTTGATTTTTGCTTTGGAGAAGCCGGAGCAGGGCTGTTTCCAGGGGCTGATGCACAAGGAGGACACACGTGATGGCAAGATGGGTTTCTGGGAGAGGCCTGCTGGCTCTCCAGGCTCTCCACGACAGTCCCTGTGTTATCCAGGGGCCTCCCTCCAGCACTGATCCCGCTGGCAGCAGCTGTGATCCCGATAACCCTGTGGCTGGTTGAGAGCTGATGTCCCTGTAGGCACCAGGACGTTCCCTTTGGACACCTGATAGGGGCTATAAATACCAGGTGGGTTCATGTTCCCTCAAGCACAGAGTGGGCTGTGCCAAGTCACCCCAGATGGTCAGGCTGAGAGATCCCTGTGCCAGAGAAATGACTGCAGCCTTTGGAAAAGGGACCGAGCCCCTGATGTGGGCATTTGAAGGCTCCACACCCTTGGCCAGGTCCCTTCTCCCAGTTTCTTTTTTTGCAGCACTGGTGTCACCTGGGATCTGTGTCCCACGGGTCAGAAGTGTTCTGGGGTCTGATGGAGAGAGTCAAGATGCTGCTCAAGGTGTTGTCAGGCTTGTCCCCTCTTCCCAGGATGTCCAAGGCACATCCATGCCAGCTCCAGGTACTGCTCTGAGCTGTTACACATTCCCTGCACACATGGGTACACCCCACGCTGCTGCCCCAAAACACACAAAGTTCAGTTTCAGGCCTGGTGTGGAGTCCTTGCTCTTGGATATCCATGGGGATTTAGTGGCTGGTTTGTGCTGAGCCAAGATTCACTCCTTGCCCTGCTCGTGGGACAAGGGGGAAGACTGGAGCTAAGTCAGCTCCTCTTGGCTCTACTGACTTGTCGGGTGCACAGTCACGGGGACAATTATGATTTCAGGCAGCGCTTTGGGGGCAGGCAGCACTCTGGCTGTGTTGCTCTGGCTGAGGAGGTGTTGCACCACTTCCCTCTTTCCTCACTCTTACAGACTCAGGGAACGCCAGGAAGGTTTGGGATGGGAGGGACCTCACAGCCCATCCAGTGCCACCCCCTGCCATGCACAGGGACACCTTCCACAGCCCAGGTGGCTCCGTCCAGCAGTGCCTTTGCCCCTTTGGGGTGGGGGAGCACCTTCCCTGTCCGGGAAGCGCTGCCCGGCGCTGCTGCCTGCGGGGAAACTGAGGCACAACTCCCGAATCGCCTCCAGGACGGGATGACGACAGCCTCTGCTGGCCAGGAGAGAGGAGGAGGAGGAGGAGGAGGGCATCAGCCGGCCCGCCCGGGGCTGAGCCCAGCCCGGCCCCCGGGGCGGAGCCGGCGGAGCAGCGCCCGGCGGAGCGGGGAGCGGCGGATCCCGGGGCAGCCCGGGCCGGCTCCGGGATGAGCTTCCCGCGGCCCCTGCGCCGCTCCGTGAGCCTCAGCCCGGCCCGCACCCTGCGCCTCGTCGTGCTGGGACAGAGCGCCGTGGGCAAGACAGGTAGGACGGGGCTCCCCGGAATCCCCCCGGTGTCCCTCGGTATCCCCCGCATCCCTCTGGTATCTTTCTGCATCCCTCTGCTATGCCCTGGCACCCCCCGGTATTCTTCCTCCCGGCCAGAGGGACCAACCTTCCCATGTCCCTTAGGAAGCCGGGACGAGGGACATTCTTGCGGTGCCCCCCAGCCCGTGGGGTTTAAGGGCACTGAGTTTCCTTCCCCTCGAGTTTCCCACATGGACACTTTGCACCGGGGCTCCTTTCCCTTGCCCGAGGGGTCTCCGGCTGCCTGGGGACCGGGGGTGGACGTCACTGACCGGGAGAACTTTCCTAAAAGCCGGGCTCGGGATTGGGTTTTCCCGGGTGTGAGGAGTTGGCTGCTCATTCCCAGCGCCCCCAGCAGCTGTGCGGATCCTCCTCCGCAGCACCGGGCTGTTTTCCTTCAGGAAAACTCCCTTTCCCTGTGCCTTGTTCAGCGCTCTCCGTCTGTGCCTGCTGAGGTGGGGGTTTGGGATACTGTGCTGCGAGCACCTCAGCTCCCATTCCTTCCTGGGGATCATCCTTCCCTGCTTCCCACTCCTCCATCCCGAGCTGTGAGCACCTGGGGGCAAAGGTGTCCCCGGCAGCACTCGGAGTGCCAGGACTGGGGTCAGAGGCAGGGAAAAATGTGGATCAACGTTGCAGTGCTCCATGATCCATGCAAAACCTGGTAGGACACAGCTGTGCTGCCTGGGGACAGGGAATGTCCTGCCTCTCTGGCAAAGGGAAGGCACCGCAGCAGTGGCACCTGTGCCGGGCTGTCGGAGCCGCTGGAATTGTGTTTCCATGGACAGCAGCCGGCATTAACGAAAAATCCTCATTCCCTGATTAAACTAAGGAAGCAACTCCCAGCTCTCCCTGAGCGATGCTGGAGCACGGGATGGGGCTCAGCTCCGGGGTACCCGGAGCCCCGGGGGTTCCCTGGAGGCATTTGGCCCCGATGGAGCAGAGGGGTGTACGGGGTGTACGCAGCCCTTGGCTCGCCCCCACCCCAAACACGTGTGTCTCCCTGCTGCTGGGCATCCCACCCAGCACGCAGCAGATTCCTGGCAGCTTTGGAACCCTCCTGTGGGCAGGTGTGGGGTTTTCGTGCCTCCCCCTTAGGGTGGGATGGTGCCAAGGGTCTTTAAAAGCTCCTCCAGTTAGGGTTGGCTGTCAGCACGTGTGCCTTGCAGCAGCGGGGCTTGTGACAGTGGGACAGTGACACAGACCTTGGGGCACAGGGGGGTAATTGATCTGTGGCTCGTGCAGAGGAGAGCTGGAGCGTGCCAGGAACAGGGAGCAGCCCCTGGGAATGGCTGGAACGCAGGCCCCTGAGTGTGTCCCTCCCCATCTGTGTCCCCTGGGCGCTGCTCCACACGTCCTCTCCTGCCAGGGGACATTGTGTCACCTTCCCCGGGCGCTGTGCCCCAGCTGCCAGGTCCTGCTTCCCGCCAGCCCCTGCGCTGGGGATGAGGACACCTGTCCTGCTGTCCCTGCCCAGCTGGCAGGTGACATCCCAGGTGATGCATGGGGAGTGTGGGAGAGGCGAGGAAGGAGCCAAGAGCAGCAGCATCATTGCTTCAGCTCCCGTGGGGAGGACGGGGGAGGCAGCTGTGCCCCAAGGTGGGGGTGACACCTCTCCTGGCCAGGGTGTGAAGCAGAGGAGGCTGGAGGTGGATTTCATCCCCGAGCTGCCAAGCTCCCATCCTGGCAGGGCCCCACTCCGGAGCATCCCCAGGACGAGCTGCTGCAACCATGGGATACAAGAGCCAGGTTGGGAGAGTTGAGGGGTGGGAACAAATCACATGTGGGCAGCTGCAAAAGAGAAAAATAACCCTTGATTCTCAGCAGGAGTTTGGTTTTTTGGAGCAGTTTGGAAACCTTCAGGATCTGGAGACCCGAGGTCCCAGACCCTCCAAGCAGGAGTGAGTTTGGGTGCAGCCATGTGGTTTAAGGATCAGGGCTGTGTGAATCAGCAGCGGGGGCTGGAAATCCAGCCCAGCTGGGGCTTGTGCTATCCTCTGCTGCTGCTGCCCAGCGTAAACTCTGCCATAATCCAGAGCAGAGCTCTGCCTGCAGCACGTGGAGCGAAGATGGATCGGCGCTGGGGCCGTTCCGCAGCGGCACAAACAGGGCAGCACGTGGGCACGCACCCGGTGCGATCCCGAGGTGCCCAGCCTGACTGTGTGACAGGTAATTCACCCCTTGAGCCCCCACCCCACATTTAAAGCATAATTAACCCTTTCAGCTCCAAGGAAAACCCTTCCCGAGGTGACTGATGTTCAGGATGGGGAGAAAAAGCTCCTTATAAGGCTGGGTGGCCGCGGCCGCTCCGCCTGCGGCTGCTTCCCCCACTGGCAGCTCCCCTCGTGTTCCTGCGCTCCAGCCAATTTTTAATCAATCTAATTGGCTCCTCTTCTCATCCCACACCATGTGCTCCAGCTTTGGGTGGCTGCCTGACATATGACACACAATCAGGTGCTTTCTGGAGACCGTGCCTGCCTCGTCCCGCTCTCCCCGATAACTCCGTTGCCTCTTTGAAGGTGCCTGTAGGTGCCTCCTGCAGGATCCCTGGTTATCTCCTCAGAGCAGTTTGGCTAAATTACCTGCTTTTTTCTTCAAATCCCTTCCCTGCTGTGCAGGTTTCAAACCCAGAGACAGACTGGGCGGGGGGGTGAGAGGATGGTGAAGCACCCAAGGAGGAGCCAAGCAGGTGTGAGAGGCAGGAGAAGTTCCTGCATCCCTCTTTCCCTTTCTGTGGTTATTTAAGCCTGGCCCATCTGGGGTGCCACATTCCTGGGACAAACACACAGATCCTGATCAGCTTGGTGTGGCTCTGTGAGGGCAGGACACCAGCAAAATCTGCTGGTGGGCAGCTGGGACAAACTGACCCTGGGTTGCAGGGGAAAGGGAGCTCCAAGTGTTGCTCCAGTGTTGTTCCAGCTTGGTGTTGGCTTTTCATTTCCACTTTTGTTTCTGGAAGGGTTTTTATCACATCCTGATTCTGGTGAGGTTTATCCTCCTGTCACACTCCTGGTCTGTTTTCCCTTCCTTCTCTCCCTCCTGGCTCTGTGCTCCTGCCTAGCTCTTTCGGGGTTTTTCCCTCCCCCTTTTTTTTTCCCCCTGTTCCACTAATTTCACTTTCCACTCCCGTTGCCTTTCCAAGCCAGCTCTCAGCCTCTCCACCACCTTTCACTCCCATCTCCATTATCATCATCAACACCTTGAAGGGCTCAAGCACCACTTCCACCTTCCACTCCTGCACTCTCTTCACCCTCCAAACCATAGCTTTGTCCAGAAATTCCCTCTCCAGGCATCAGCACTGCATTTCCAAAGCAGCTTCCTGGAAAAGATGTTAGGGCTAAAGGCTTTGCCTCGCCGGGCTCTGGTGCAGGGAGATGTCTAATCAGATGAGGGGGTTTAATTGCCTGAGCTGCGGCTGCTCCTGCTGCTCCTTTGCCCTTGCAAGGAGGAAAAATTAGTCCAGAGGACTGACAGCTCCAACAGGGTTCATTGTGTTTTTTTCCAGCCCTGACCGTGCGATTCATCACCAGGAGATTCATTGGAGACTATGACCCAACCCTAGGTAGGAAAACTCCTTTACCTTGGGGCTGTCACCATGGCAGAGCCAACTCTGCTCCCAAATTCACCATATTCCCTCTTCTTCCTCCTCAGCCAGACAGGCAGCCCATGGACATCCTGACACCTCCCTGGGTCCTGCATGCCTTTTCCCCTTTCTGGTGTTATTTAGGCAAAATCTATTGGGACAAACCATCAGATTGCACAGGGAAGTGCTGCAGGCTCATTCATGGCGTTGTGGAATCATGCAGAATCATAGGATCACAGAATCATTAAGTTGGCAAAGACCTCTGAGAGTCCTACCATCAAACCAACAGTTCCTCCTCAGTTGCTTGAATTCCTTCCCAATCTGCTGGGAGGTGGCTTTTAAAGGACGGGAGGCATCTAAGCCCCTGGAGCCTGTGCTCTCCTGAATTCTAGGATTTTGGGGTTTGGGTTTTTTTCTTGCTTTTGGGTTGTTTTTTGAGCACTGAAGCCATGTCCCTGCTGGAATGTCCCAGAAATATCCCCTCCTCCCTCTCTCCTGTGGAGCTCCTCTCCCTCCCTTGTTGCTCCCACACTTTGGTCACTGCTGCCCTCTCCACCAGCCTGGGCTGTGGCTGCTCCCTGGGGGTTCTCTCACACACCTTTCCTGTGTGTCCTGCCCAGAAATGATCTACAGGCACGTGGCTGTCATCGATGGGGAGATGGTGCACTTCGAGATCCTCGACACAGCCGGACAGGTGAGCTCAGCCTGCCAGGGAAGGCATCCCCCTGCTCTTCCACTGGCCTAATTCCTGGTGTCTGGAACATCGTGGTGGTTACCTCAGAAAAAGGGTGTTTTGGTGAATTTTTGTCTAACCTCAATTACAGTGTAATATATTCCTCCATTCCCATTCCCTTCAGGTAAATATTCCCCCATTCGCATGCGGGGCATTGCTGTGCTTCCTGTGCCAGTGGAGCCTCCTGGCAGCTCAAGGGAGCACTGGTTCCCCCAGTATCCATGCCAGGACAGGGCTGATGGCTGTCCCCACCTGCCACACTGCCTAAGCCACCCCATCCCCGCCCCAGGCTGCCGGTGTTACCACTGCTGTCCCTTTTCCCTCCTACAACTCCAGAGGTGTTTCCTGGTGCTGCTTGTGTCTCTCCAAGGGGTTTTCCTTCAAGGGAGGGGATTCATTATATTCCATTTCTCTTCATACACCCATGTTCTCCTGGAGTGGGAGGGGGTGGGAAATGAGCCCCATCAAAGGGCTGTGCCAGGAAAGCAATTTGGGGCTGCTCCTTGTCAGCCTTCACGGGGACGGCGCCCTCGGGAGGTTCTCCGGGGCTGCATCCAGCAGTGCCGGCATTCCAGCGGTGCTAACGGGAGCCTGTGTGCCCCGGCAGGAGGAGGACTCCCTGCAGATCGAGGAGAAGATCAAGTGGGGCGATGGCTTTGCCGTGGTCTACTCGGTGACCGACCGCTGCAGCTTTGACGAGGTGATGCGGCTCTGCTTCCTCATCAACCACCTGCACGCCAGCCCCAAGCGCAGCGGCCCCGCCGAGCAGCCCCCCGTGGTCATCGTGGGCAACAAGAAGGACCTGCAGTTCGACAGGATGGTGTCCACCGAGGACGGGGAGAACCTCTCCAAAGCCCTCAAGATTCCCTTCTACGAGATCTCCACCCGGGACAGCTACGAGGAGCCGGTGGCGGTGTTCAGCAGCCTCTACCAGGAGCTGCTCAGGCAGGGCCACTTCTCGCCGGGCTCCTTCAAGAGGAGGACAGTGTCCAAGCTCATGGAGAAGATTCCCAAAATGCAAGCCAGCTCCACCCTGAACTCCGCGGGCCGGAGCCTCAGCTTTAACTCCTTCAGGGACTACATTCCCGAGTGAGCGCCCGGCTCCAGCCCGGGATGGGGCGGCTGCTGGGGCTGTGCCGGCTCTCCGGAGGGGAAGGGCAGGAGTGGGGAGGGTGGCACTGGGTACAAAAGCCTGTGGGTTCTTCTTACAGGGGGCTTTGTGCCAGCAGGGAAGGTTTTCTTCATCCGTCTGATCCCTTTGTTCCCTCCTCCCCCTCTGGCAGAGCTGAGGTGGCCCTGGTGACTCCAGAGGTGTTGGGACAACCCTTGGAGGGAGGCTCAGCCGTGTTTTGGTGGGGCTCAGACCCAGCACAGGCACGTCTTGGGGGGGCTTTCCCCCTCCCCTGAGCTGGCTGGGTGTGTCTGCACCCCAAACCCAGCACCCACCGTGCTGGGTGACCCCGAAGGCTGTGCTGGCTCCCGGGCTGGCAGCAGCCATTCCCTGGGGATGGAGCCTGCTTCCTCAGCGTGGCTGGTGAGTAAAACCCCTGGATCCTCAAACCCTTCCAGCCCATCCAGGCTGTGCTCAGTAGCACGGACACAACGGAGCCGATTCCAGAAGCTGCTTGCAGGTCCCCCTCTCTCTGCTCATCTGCTGCCCCGTTCCCAGAGGGAAAACCACTGTGGCCTGAGGAGTTGTTGTTTTGCACAGGGATGGGGCAGGAAAGGTGTGGGAAGGAGCTGGGCTCGTGGCTCATATTCCATCCCTCCCTCTGGGTGTTGGGGCTGTGTGGCTGGTCGGGGTGGCTGTGCTGGGACCCTGTGGTGTGACTCCCCTGTCCCCTCTGTTGTGACCGACCCCATTGTCTGCTGCCGTGTCCTGTGACAATAAAAGCCGAGTTCCCAACCGCCTGTGGCACTCCCAGGACAGGTTATTTTAGGGAGCTTAAGGAAAGGAGTGCATGGTGTGGGATCACCCTTAAATTAGGGCTGGGCATGCCTCTTATCCTCCCCCCGAGCCCTGGCACCATGCACCCTCCTGGCTCCCTCCACCCCTAAAAGGATTCCCTGGAGGATCACAGCCTGGGAAGCCACTTATCCCAACTCCTCAGCCTGCTCCAGGCACCCTTTGCCCTCCTACAGCTCCCAGAGGTGTTTCCTGGTGCTGCTTGTGTCTCTCCAAGGGGTTTCAAGCATTCCTTATATTCCATTTCTCTTCATACACCCACATTCTCCTGTGGGGGGGGGCGGGGAAATGAGCCCCATCAAAGAGCTGGGCTGGGAAAGCAATTTGGGGCTGCTCCTTCTCAGCACCTTGATTAAAATCCCAATTTTACTGAATGAAATTTAATTTAGTGAATTAAAATTCACTCAGGGCTCTGTGTATGGGCAGAGCCCAAATGGGGCTAAAATGCCTCAGGGGGCTGGACAAGGAGGGGGTTTTGTTTATTTTTAGGGGGTTTATGGCATTCCCAAGGGAGTTGAACACGGAGCTGGGCTGGGGGTTTGTTTTCCAGCAGCTGGGGTGGGTTTTGCTGCCCTGGCTGGAGAAGAGCCGGTTTGGGGAATGCTGGGATGGGCAGAGAAGAGCTCAGGAGGGATTAAACTCCATGGGACACACTGAACACACACTTGAGCCTGACAAATGAAGGATTTGGGTGCCCTCATTCCACGTTGCTCAGCTCCCAAATATCCCCAGGGCTGGTCCAAGGGGATGGATTTAGCTGCTGGCTGGAGCCGGGCATGGCGGAATCCCGCAATATTCAGCAGGAATTATTCCAAGTGATGGATGAGACAGGAGCAGCTGATGAGCAGGAGGCCAGGCCAGCCCTGGAACAGCATCCCCAGCGCTCCTGGCAGTGGAGGAGCACTCGGCAGGGCCGGGATGGCTGTCCTGGAGTAACCCCGGCCCTTTTTTATATCCCAAGGAATCCAGAAGGCTCCGTGTGGTCGCTGCCGTGGCCCCTCACCAGGGCTCCTGGCCCTGCCTGCTATAATTAGCACCAAACCTCGTTAGGAGAGGCAGGGGCAGCTCTTCAGGACTGGTAATTGCTAATTACTGGAAGCCTCTAATGGCTCTCTAGGGGCAGTTTCCTCTCCCTTATAAAGGAAGGTCTTGAGGATGCAGCATTCATTGGAGTGGGGAGAGGTTTTTGGGGGGGGGGGAATTCTGGGGGGCATAAATCCTAAATTCCTGTGGTGAGAGGTCTGCAGGGGCTGGGCAGGGGAGGAGGAGGAGGAGGAAGAACAAAAACAAGAAGAAAAAGAAGAGGAAGAAGATGAGGAAGAAGGGGAAGGTCTAAGCCTTACTGGGAGCAGAGCCTGGAGTTTCAGAGCCCTGGGCAGGTGAGTCCAGGCCAGGTCCCTGGAAAGGAGGTGCCCAGAGCCTCCTTGGAGGCACCCTGGGGATGTGGGACCTGCAGCCTCCTCCCTGCCCAGCAGGGCAGTGCCCCTAAAACAACATTCAGGGGAGTTTGGGAACGGAAGCTGGGAGTGAGGGCTGGGATTTGGTTTGCCTTGGAGCCCCTGGTATCCCATGCTGAACCCCTGGGTGGATGTTCCTGTGTGTGGCTGGGAAGTGCCACTTCTCTGGGGACAGGTGAGTGTCCTGAGGGTTGTTCTGCACCTTTCCAGCCTTCAGTGGCTCAGCTCCATGGAGATGAGCTGAAGAATTTTTGTCTCATCCTTATCCAGACAGCATCTCCAGGGCCGGGATTGAGTTTGGCAGCAGGCGGGCTGCAAATCTGCTCACCAGATTTCTGGGAAGCTTGGGAGAGGCAGATGAAGCAGAAAGGTCCTTTCCAAGAGCTCCCTCGCTGTGCTCACCCCCAGCAGCTCCCTGGCACACCAAGCCCCCCATTACCCCCCTTTGTCCCCTCTGCCAAGGGCTTTCCTGGAAAACCAAAATCGTGGGCTGAGCTCGTGGGGTGCAGCTGCTCTCTCTTTGCAGCCACAGCTTTTATCATCGGTTGTGCCTTGTTTTAATTTAAAAAATAGAGGTTTGGGGCTTTTTGAAGGCTTTTTCTTCTGGAGGAGCAGCCCATGGATGTGGGCTCACCACAGCTCCTGGGAGTGGTGAGGACACTGGAATTGCCAACAGCCCTTTCCAAGCAGGTGCTGCCTTCAGAGATCCCAAATCAGCAGCCTCACCCCGCTCTGAGGGATTTGAGCTCAGAGCAGGAACACTGAGGCTGGCTGGGTGCTGCAACATTCCCTGGATTTGAGGTACCTGGGCTGGCCGTGGGGGTGCAGGGGGGTGAGTGCCCCATGAGGGGGGTTTTCCTCAGCACAGGGGGCTCCTCTCTGCCCAGATTAGAAATGTTACGGAATATTGTGCATTAGGAACTTGGGTTTGGTGTCCCCAAAATATCAGGCTTTGCCTGAAGGGAAAAGGGGGGCAAAGGGCACACAGGGGCTGTTTCCATCCCAAAACTGGCAGCTGGAGCTGGCGACTTTCCAGCTGGAAAATTATCCCTCCATGGATTATTTCAGGTGCTCCGGGCTGCTCCCCAGCCCAAAATCTGCTGCTTGCCATGAGACCCTCCTGAACACCCAGGTGGGCTGTGGATGGACTCAAGGAGCTCCCAAATCCAGGCATTCCTGGCTCAGGGCACACAGCTGGGATGGGAAGGGACAATAGTGGCTTCCAAGGGCTGATGCTGTTTATAAGGCCACGTCGTCAGTGCAAGTCCTGCTGCTTGTTTTTTCCTTTATAAATAGCTGTGGAGTTCATGGAAATCTGGGATTGCTTTCCAGGAGGAAATCTGGGCTGAGATTTTGGGAATTTAGGAACCAGATCACTCATCTTCCTTTTGCTTTTTTTTTTTTTTTTTTTTTTTTTTTTTTTTTTTTTTTTTTTTTTTTTTCCCTCCTTTTAAACTGAGCTCAGCTCCAATAAGGAGCCCAAAGCTCTCTAAGGCACAGAGAATTCCAGCACAGCCAAAGGCTTTTGCTGGCCCTGAAAGGCAAGGCTGGGAACTGCAAGGGGAAGGAAAACCCAAGGAGAACATCCACCATGGCACATCAGCTGGTTTATTCCCAGGATGGATTCTGAAGGTATCTTTTCCCTTTGGATAAACTCTGGGAGGGCAGGAAGGTGGGATATCCATGTCCATCCATGCTGCCAGCTTCAGGGAATCCACTCTGGCTCATTACTGTGTCTCCCAGCTTAGAGATACCATGGATAAATGGATAAAAATGAGAGTTTGGTGTAGGCTTTTGAGGTACTGTGGGATCTATCCCACAGGGAGAGTTTTGGGGTGAGGCTGCTCCCCACTGGGGAAAATGGAGGAGAAATGGCAAGTCCTGGAGGCAGTTTGCTGCTCACACCAGTTTTCCTTTGCTCTTGGCCAACCCACACACCTTTCCTGTATTTTTTTTTTTTAATAATAATATTTAAGAAATCCCAAACCAGAAACCTCAGGAGGGTCTGGCTGGGAAGATGTGGCTGTAATTGCTGGTGCTTAAAGGCTGTAGGAAAATATTGATGGAAAGGGCTGTGCCTTCCCAAGTGCAACCCCACAAAAGTGGAAAATCCCTGTGGCACTCTGTGCTCTCCCTTTTTCCAGCCAGCCTGCAAGGTGAGGACAGAACTGGAAAGGAGTGTGATCCACAGGGTTTGCAGTGATGGAAGCCTCTCTTAGGGGACAGTGATCCTAAATCCCAGTGGGAATAACCTTTAGTCCCTCTTTTCTGGATGTTTCACCAAAAAGCCAGATTCTCAGACTCTGGTTATGGATGCTGGTGAGTTCAATGTGTTCCCAGCCTCCCACTCCTTCCCTTCCCGGGGCATTGTCCACCCATTGTCCACATCCCACAGAGCCCAGCAAACCTGGAGCCTTGGCAAATCCCTCAGTCCTGGAATGGTTTGCGTTGGAAGGGGCTTAAAGCCCATCCAGTTCCACCTCCCTGCCATGGGAAGGGACACCTGCCACCACATCAAGGTCCTTCAGCAACCTTGGAGCCTGGAAAGCCCCATTGGAGATAAAAAAGCAATCTCAAGGTCTTTTCAACACTGAAAAGTCATGAAGAGGCAAAAGATGCTCCATTCTCCGTAGGAGGAGATTTAAAATGTTTTAAAAAAAAATCGTCTGGAAGCAGAGGGGCAGGACACCCTTCTGGAATCCAGGGAGCCACCCCGAAATATTTTTTTTCCCTGTGGCCAGTCAAGGCTAAGTGGTTTTTGTTGGCAGTGGGAGGAAGATGAAGGGAGGTTTCACTCTGCTCATGGGAGCCAGTTCATGCTGAGATTTGTGATGGGCAGGAAAACTCACAGAACCATTCCTCCTCCCAAAAACCAGGAGTTTTGGGAGGGTGGGAGCAGGCTCAGCCCAAACCCCCCAGACCATGTGCAGAGTTGGGGGGGGGGCCCAAACTTGGCCAAATATTGAGTTGTTAAAAGCTCCAGCAGCATTTTTCTCTGGGATTTGATCTGCTTTTTAAGAAAAGGTTTTTCAAACCACCCCCATTTCCTGCTATCCCTCCTAGGCACAGCCCCCTGTCCCTGCTTATCCCCCTGCACCCGTGGCACCGGACGCCATCCCGGGCTTTCCCTAATCCCACCTTGGGAGCCCCTCTGCCACTCCATGGGTGTGATTTAATCTTGTGCCATGTGACAGAGCTTTGCCTTCAGCTGCTGCAGCCAAACAACCTCATCAGCTGCCCCCCTCCCAGCCTATTTTGTGGTGGGAAAGAGGGAATTGCCAATCCTTGGATTGGCAGCTTTTGGGTGCTGCTGCCACGTCCCTTTCTCTCCCTTGGACAGAGCATTAAACCTTCCTGGTGTACCAGGATCCCAGACCATCCCAAAGATCCCGTTTTTTCCCTCCTCTGCCCTGTTTCTGCAGGTTTTGCAGCCAAGCTGAGCTCTCCCTGAGGCACATGGATCTGTAAAGCCTCACAAGTAATTC